GTTTTCCCCATTTGTAAAATGGAAGAGAAAGAACACTTCTCTCTGGCTAATCATGAACACCTTTTTTGTTAGGTTGCTTTCAAAAAGTAAGTAACATCCAAATATTTATCAATTCAGAAGGAAGAAAATGGAATAAATATTTTAAATTATAAAAACTGGGATTACACTGATCAGACAAAGCACAATTTAAATGAGATTTTTTTTGTTTGACTAATGTTAAAACATAAAGCAGTTAAGTACACACACACGTGCACTAAAGGTCTGTCCTATTAACATTAAGGATAAGACAAACTTAAAGCCAGAAACTCAGAGTAAAACCTTTACACATGCCATAGTGTCTAGCTATTGCAGATGCCTAACTATGCATGAGCTTCCATAGCACATGTGCAATGTGAGTGATAGACTGAGTGAGATTAACTATGAACATCCTGCATTTTCTTTGTGTAAATCGCATATTTAACATAGCTGTATTCTTTTTCTTTTTACAGGAAACTATTTATTTTGAGTCAGTGTTATATTAGTCTTTGTAGAAAGTGGGGCTGACTTGTTGCCATGTTCCATCAGTCACATTCTGAACACACTGCCTAGAATTTTTGGTATTTCTTTGACAAAGGTTTTAGACACTTCTCCCATTAGAATCAATGGGAGTTTGCTATTAATTTCAAAAGGACCAACAGACTGTCTTTAGCTGGAAAGAGTTAGCTACTAACCAGTAGCTATGTCCTCTATCTGGACTGGTACTAGACTTAAATTTCCTTTTTGTAAAGTGGTAGCTTAAATCAACAAAGAAGCCAAGTTTAGACCAAATCTTGCAGTCCCTTTAAGAGCATTCTGCTAAATAAAACTCCCATTGAACTTAAAGAGAGTTTTGCCATTGATCTAAATGGAAGCAGATTGGTTTTTTTGTAGAATCTGACACATTAAAAGCTCCTGACTCTATTGGTCTAAGGTGCTCATGAAGACCATTGGGAACCAGATTTAAAAATTGGGAAAAGAACTATTAAAATTAAAAAATAAATAGGCCAACATGCAACCCTTGATCAAAATTAGGACTGTATTATAAGGTGGGGGGTATTTTTTTTCTCCCCGTGTGTAGTTATCTATTCTCCCGCAACTCTCTTATGAGCTGCCTGGTACTCTCCCCAAGGAAACACCTGTAATACATAACCACTTTCTATCTTCTTGTAAGGGTATAGAAAATGTTGTTTGATTTTGAACATAAATTTCAAATAGGTGAATGAAGGGAGCCCATCACTTTTATTAATATATAAACAAACAATGTAGCTGCTATTGCATCATAGCAAAAGGGATAATTATCTCATAATTCACATCACCTTCTCTTTCTGATTCCCAACCTCTATCACACACAGTGGTATTATTGTTGAAAAAGAGAGAAAAGCACTCCCAACCACTATTGTTGTGGGATCTGAAAAGGAAATCAATCCTTAAAAAAGAAAGAAAAGTATAACAAAACCCCAATAAACAAAATCAAATCAAAAATATCCTCCTCTACCTCCATTATGATGTTGCAAAAGACATGAAAGGGAACTTGTACAACAACAGGCCAGCTAAATGTTTTCTTTTATTTCTTTACAAATGTTTGAGCTTATTTTGGGGGAAACGGATGTAAATAGAAGACAGACTAGCCTGATCTAGAAGGAAATGTTTACAGCTAGGGAAATAATTCAAGATCCGATTATCTATGTACAAATTTGATCCTCTGGAATGCTGCTAAGGGTGGTGAAATGTACGGCTGGTCTACTGCTGAAATCCCTCCTCAGTCCTCACTCACTCAGTAAATAATAAGTGCATGCAATATCTGGCCTTCTAGGCTGGTGATACACGTACAAGTTATCAAGCAGCAGCATTAACTTGTACACCCAATTTTCCCAAGGTTTAAAAAATAAATTGAAAGAGAATAGCTGCAAGCTGCCTGATTAAAGCAATTCCTTCCTATTTTGCTTAGCAAATTTCCAGAGAAGTGTACCAAAGTACAAAAAGGAGATTGTTGTAAATTGAATTAGTGGCATACTTGATGCAACTTTTCAGTTCAAACAGTATAAGAAATATATTACCAGAAACATATATTACTAGGACACACCAGGACCCTTCTGCTGCAAGACAAATGTACTGATGCCTTAAAAGTTAAAAACATCCTATCAGAATCTCTCTTAAGTATGCTATCTTTTTTTTTATAAGAGATATATGCTTTTCAATTTCCTGTACCCTGAAAGGTCTGTTAGCAGGGAAATTGGTGTTAACCTCATCCACTTCCACTGTGTGGTGAAAATGAAATTCGGTGAGTTCAGCTTAGCTAGGTACGACTCTGAAGGAAAGTCATTATCTATCTGTACAAAATTCACTTCTAGTGAAATATGGCTCTGCCAAAATCCCCTTTACAGAAATGATCACTTGCACACACTTAACACGTGTACATTCATTCTGTAATAGCACAGCCAATTCGTTACAGCCTTTCCTAGGGAAATGTGTTCAATCCACCAGCACACCCCCAAGGCACCAAGTGCGGACACACAAAAAGCTCAGCTCACAGCATACCCATATCAACCACACACATACACAACCCAGACAAAACACACAGCAGCCAACACACGCTCATTTCTGCAGTTCACCCACTCACGCATAGCAACCAAACGGACACACACCGGACACAGCGGAGCCAACACACACTGCACACAAGCAGCCGCTACACGCACCCCCACCCCTCGGCACGCAATCAACCCACTCTCACAGCATGCAATCTCGACACGCACGCAATACACCCAGCTGCCAGCAGCACATACCCACCCACGCAATCGATGCAGCCGCCTCCACAGGTATCCGGCTGAGAACAGGCTGGAGCCAGCGTGCCTGCTGCTGCCAGTGCAGCGCTCTGCCTCTTTCTCTCTCACACACACACACGCTCACCTTGTTTGCAGTCACAGTAGCCCCAGTCCACCCTGCCCCGGCTGTTCCTGTAGAAGCACCAGGGTCTGCTTCTGCCGTCGGGGTTCCTGCAGAAGTTGTGCTGGCCCCGCAGCCCCTTCCCCTGGGGGGTCTTCTCCAGGAAAGTGGGCACCTCCGCCCAGGGCAGGCACTCGGCGCCGAACTCGGTCATGTTGACAAAGCGCCCCCCTGACCCTTCGGCTCCAGGGCAGCCGGGCTGGTGTTGGGGGGCCGGCGGGGCGCGGGGCGAGCGGGAATGCTGCGGGCCATGAGCAGGGGCAAGGGGATGGTTAAGAGAGGCCGCGTCAAAGCTGCCCGCTGCGGGGGTCGTCCCTAAAATCAGAGCCACTAGCAGGCTGGGTAATGCCATGGTGCCAGTGCCGCCTCTCCCGGGCCATCTCCCCCTCGGCTCTATCCCAGTGTGAAGGGGGAGGGCGGGGCCGCCGCTTCCCTCTAATCCTGCCCCCACCTCCCCCGGCGCGCACACACCCTCCCCCTGGCCGGCTCACGCTCCGGAGCAGCAGAGCCGAAGTACTTGCCCCCGGAGCGGAGCGGTACTTGCCCCCGCCCGGCTCCCCCGGGAGAAAGGGGGGGGGCGGAGATGCGAATTGCTGCTACCTGCCTTGGCAGCTCCGTGCCCGCCGGGTGCCTCGCCAACCGAGGGTGCGGGCCCTTAGCACGCACACACACACACACGCACGCTTCCTTGCAGAACTCGGGGTGGCCTCACCCTCCTGCCACCCCATCAGCTGGGCTGCCTACACCAGGTACCCACGGAGGGCCAATTCTGCTTCCTCCCGCCCGCTCTCCTGGGCGCCACCCTTTGGGGGGCGTCCGGGCATGGAAGACAATTAACAGCTGCCCGGAAAGTAGGTGTGAACGTCCCAGGGAGCCTCGCTGGGGTCCCTCCCCTGCACTGGTGCTGGAGGTGCTGGGGCACCCCTTGGCTTGAAGTGGTTTCCATTAAATACAGGGCTCTCAGTACCCCCCAGTATAAAAATTGTTCCAGGACCCCTGACCCCAGCCTCCCCCACGACTGCCTCCTCAAGCCACTGATGAGGTTCCCGTCCCCACTCCCACCTCCCTCTCAACTCCTCTCTGCTGGGACCCCAAATCCCTCCCTGCCTTGGTTTCCCCCCCCCCCAACTCTCCCCTCTTCCACACTCTCTCCTGCTTCTCTCCCTGGAGTCTCTGCTGTCCCCTTCCCCCTGAAATCCCTGCTTTGCTTTCTCCCCAGGACCCTTCCTCCCCTGGAGCCCCGTCTGCTCTTCCCCAGGAGTGGTGCCAGGATTTTTGGCGCCCTAGGCAGGGGTCCTTCTGCGCTCCCGGTCTTCGGGGCACTTCGGCAGCAGGTCCCGGAGTGAGTGAAGGATCTGCCGCAGAATTGCCGCTGAAGACCCGGAGCGCGGAAGGACCCCCCACAGCCAAATTGCCGCCAAGGGCGGTAAAATGCTGCCCCCCCAAATCCTGGTGTGCCTGCCCTGCTCTTCCCCCACTTCTGTCTGCACCCAGCACATTCGCTCACTTTGGTCCTCCTCTCTCAACCTGTTTTTCTCTCCCTTCATCACATCCCCAAACTCCCTGGGGAATCTTGCAGTCTCTTTGACACCATCACAAAGAGCCGCAGGAAGGGCCTGGACACCATTTCACAACAAAACCTTGGAGATGGGGAGTGTCTAGGTTGAAAGACAGAGAAATACACCCAGCACCAGTATCTGGGAGAGAGAGAGGCAGAGAGATTCCAAAACAGGTCTGGAAAACACGAAGAGGGGCTGAAAACAAATGCAGTAGGGGAAAATGTCTTCAAGGGCTTCCTGCCTCCCCCAGAACCATGTGCTTTGCATAGTAGTAATCCTCCCAGTCCCCAGGCATTGTGGGGTTCCACATGATCTAGTAATCCTTGATTTGCTCCTCTTATCAGGTTGGCCATCAGTTTGCCTTTTGGTCACAGACTGTTCATTTAAAACATGAGTACTTGTGGCACCTTAGAGACTAACAGGTACCACAAGTACTCCTTTTCTTTTTTGCGGATACAGACTAACATGGCTGCTACTCTGAAACCTGTCATTTAAAACATGCGTGCACAAACCCCATTTCCATTGTTTTTTTAAATCTATACTATTAATATTTTACAAAGTCTGAGACTCTTTGGTTAAAGAAGTATGCTTTACTTGGCAGCTCTGTCTGTAGCATGAATCTTTGGATTCTCCTATCTGTAGTTTTCCCTCACTCCCCAATGTTTGTTGCAGCTAGGCAGTGTCATTCTGGGTTGAACCTGTCCACACTTAGGTTGCTCTTGTATTCTGAGTAGATCTCCACAGAAAGTGAGAGAGAGAGAGATTAGTTTTCTTCTTCAATTGCACTTTCCAGTTCTCCACAAAGTCCCCAACACATACCATCACATCCAACAGAAGAATGTCTGTGATAGTTGTCCCTGACTGAGTGAAAGGGGCAAAACAGTTATGGATTTAAGCTTTTATTCATAAATAGAGAGGGGCTCAATGCACAAAATTTCAGTCTGGATCAAGATCCTGGTGTCAGACATGAATGACAATGATTGTGATATCTGGATCCAGGGTTTTAGTTTTGCTCCTCTCTGATTAAATCATTTTTGCAGCTTTGTGTTTGGGATATTAAAAATAAAGAAATTCTGATTTAAGGTTTCCACAGCAACCTTATTTTTACCCCCTTGCACATAATCATTGCACTATAATATGAATATGAATGCATATATTGTTCTCTCTCTCTCTCTTTTAGAGCTTCTTTTTGAGCATATATATTTGCATTGGTGTAGTTATGAGTCTATCAGAACTGAAAAGGGTTATAATATGACTTTACAAAATTCTACACTTAAATCTGACATACAAGACTTTAGCCTAGGAGCAAAATCACTAGGACCACTTGTAAATTGTGTGTAAGTATACCCCTATAATAACAGCTAGTTGGCCTAGTGCATTAATATGCTTGATTTTACCCTATGCTTCAAATCATGCTCAGCCAACTTGGGCAGTATCATCCTATTTCCTAGAGAACATTTTGGACATAATAATAAAACCAATGTACAGTTTTCCCTAACCTGAAGGCTTTTTTTCTTTGCCCATGACCGGAAAGGGGCAAAGGGGTTCTGCAGGTCAAGACTGAAGGGAATTGGTAGAATTGTGTGGTGAAGCTTGCCAGCAGGACCTATACTGCCACACTTGAGGCAATGCCTTTAGACTCCTGGTTACTTTAGCACTGTAGTTCAATTTGTCTCCCCAAGATGTGTGAGCCTGCAGGGTATCCTCCATTAAATGATCTTCTTGTGTACAATAAAGAGTGTTCCATCTGAGTCATCCAAGCCCCTTCCCTGGTGGCTCCTGGTGGAAATATCTCCACAAGGGGTGGGTTTGGGATGTAACTGGGGCTTCAGCACTGGATGCATCCCACAAGAAGGCAAGCCTCAGAAAAGTAAATGCATCTCCTTTCCATGCCCCCTCAAAGATCCCCTCCTCAAATCACAAGGTGGCTCAGTTTGGGATTACTCATATGAGTAGGTTTGGTCCTAAACTATTTTTATTGTGTTTACCATGGTTGGCTATAATCTTTGTAATCCTACTAGTAAAAATGGCTTCAGTTTTAAAACAATGGTTATAAATTAACTCACAATAAGATTAAAGATCTCTTGATGTTCCATATATTGAGATTTACCAGCTAGGGGCCCAATCTTGCTCCCATTTAAGCCAATTACATTGATTTCAGAATAAGTAGGAAAAGGCCCTATGGACTTTCTTTGTCTTTTTAAATTGGGAGACAAAGCAATTTTAACTGTCAAAAATATCCATTAAAGTGACATTGAAATAAATGATTCAGCTCCCACTGAAGTCAATAGCAATTCTTTCTTTTGCAAAACATGCATCATCTGATAAATGAACATAAACTTAAGGACCTAATCTTGCTCACTGTGAGCAAGTGGTCCTATTACAGGAGCAGTCCTATAACCAGCAGTCCCATTGAAGTCAGTGGAACTACTCGCATGAGTAAGGCAGGTTTTGGCTCTTAAGCCGATCCTGCAAATGATTGTAACCATAGATATAATTACCTGCATAGAGCTCAGTGGGGCTCTATGTGGGTGCACAGGTCCAGCTACGTGGAGTCAGTTGCAGGATTAGGGCCTTAGTATGTATGAAATGCCAACAGGATTGGCTGGGCTTTGTCCATGCCTAAGCATTTCATGGTCCCAACATCAAATTATTGACAAGGCAAAAAACCAAGAGAATGATTAGCTTGTATGATCTGACCATCTCAAAAGAATCAGTTTGTCCCCATTCATTTAAAGAGTGTTCAGTAGCAAGAATTTAAAATTTGACTGGGGAGTAAGGACCCAGTGCTGCTCCCATTGAAATCAATAGCACAACTCCCAGGTCAAAATTTGTATAAGTGGTCACTAAATTTGACTGCCTCCATTTTTGAGATACCTTGTGCATGACTGTCAAATGTGCTGAGCACCAGCAGCTCCATTGATGTCAACATTCAAGAGTTAATGTTCAAAAGTAGGGACCTGATCCTCTGATTTATTTACCCTGACACCAAAGGGAGCAGCATTGGGCTACAAAAATGTTTATTTTGATTTACCTATGGCCCAAGCCTGCTCTCGCTGATGTTAGTCGCAGTCAATGGAATCATGAATTGTGAATATTTAAAAACAGGAATCTTATTTATTGTCAAAACTAGAAAAATGGAAAACATCTACTGATTTATTTCTTGGATTCATTTGGCTTACTCAAAGGCAAAAAAAGTGTGAACTTTATTTAATTGATCCCTGAAATGATGTCACAAGAAGTGATTCTTTTGGTTTTGTTTAATGATTCATACAGTGGAGCTAAGTTAAAATAGAAGCTTTTATAGTTTTAATTTTGTTTAAATTGTTTATCAGCTCAAATGTATGGTAATAAAATCATAACCTTTAAAATATATACATGTCAAATCTCTTCTCACCCCACACTGAAAGGTAAAATCCAAACACAAAGTGACCAACATAGTTTGTTAAATAAATAAAAGTTTTGTGTAATAAACCATTTGTTCCACATCCAGTGTTTATTAAAAACAATCAAAGGACAATTTATTCTTTCTGGTCTCCACTATAGTGGTCTTATATCTGTACTATGGCTCTCTCTCTCTTGCATATCCTGTATTTGTTCTCTGTGCAGAACGTCCAGTGTTGCCTATGGGAGGATTGCAAGTGGAACAAGGGCAAAATATGCAATACAGATCCAGTGTGAAGAACTCCACACTGTGGACTGAAGAATAGGATTTTGCCCAGAAAATGATAAAGAAAAGAAAAAAAACTTTAGGTGTTCAAACCTCTAAGACAAGATACAGAATTGCTGCTTGTGCATGTTACAAAACTGGCTACCTGTGCACAAACTATACAGTGTAACTATAGTTACTCCTCATGTTACTCGGTTCTCCAAGACCTTACTTCTTTTCCACCCTGTGCAAAGCAGAAAAAGGGCCATGTGGGCAGTAGAGAGGGGGTGACAGAGCTCAGACAAATTTACTCCTCTTAAACTGTATATGGAGAATGGTTGTACCATACCCATTTCATATGTATAGAGTTACTTCATCCTCTAATACTCTAATACTTTGTGACTTCCGATTGGTCTGAATTGGAAGATGTATATTCGCTGCTCAGTGCCTATATGCGTTTCCTATTAATTTTAACTGGTCTATACATGCTTACTGACAGAGTACATTTTCATTTGTTCTTCAGATTTCTTAAATGTGAGTCAGCACATATAACACATCTTATTTATTTATTTATTTATTTATTTTAGCAAATGCTTATTGGCAGACATGAAGACTGAAGTCCTCTATTTATCAACTGAACAAGTATAGCACTGGAATCAGGAATGCAGAAACCGCCATCTTTGAGTTTCAACCCTGACTGTGACCTGACCAGCTCTAGGTATGAGAAGCTGGAGTGGTGGGTGAGTTTTGTGATCTGGACAGTTGTCTAATAGGAACCATATTGAGACTTCTAACTCATTTAATATAAGCCAAATAAATTTTGGTCCCTACTGACCAGGTCTAGATTCAAACAAGCAGCCTAAATGTGAAAGAGTAGAGCAAGGGGTGGCTTCAGGCTGCGTGGGAAAGTTTGATACTAACATGTCCAGCCCTACAATTTCTATGATTCTATCATATGTAAAATTCCCAGGGGAAGTAAATACAGATATAATGGGATGGGAAGGGGGAATGCAACGAAACAGGCACATACATCACATTGAAATGAGTTTGTAACTTCCTAATACTTCCCTACATTATTGCTTTTTAATGTAGCCAAGCATGGTGGGCCCAACTGAACACCTAACTAAGTCAATGCAAAAACTCCCTATGACTTTAGTGGGCATTGGCACAGGCCTTATAATAGCTGCAGGGAAGGTTTGGAATCAGGATTGGGAGGATGGGTGGAGGGATAGTTTACAAGAGGATCTCCACCTTAAGAAATGGTACACAATATAAAACAGTTTGAGAACCACTCCCATATATGATTCAAAATATTTAGGATATAAGTCAGTGCTTCTGCAAAATAAATTATCCTCTTTAATTCCATTATCTCTATCAAACTATCATAGACAGTAGAAATTTGGAGTACTGCCAAGTCTGAGTTATAGATGGATTTAGTTTTATACTTGTATAGAAGAGAATAGGCCTTTTGTCTGTGATAATAAATAAACTCAACAGGGTGACCCTGCATTACACAGGCTATAGTTGAGCAGGCGGTAATTGATGGGATTTCCATTACTGCATGACACAGTCTATGTCATAATGAGATCATAGGAGAAACTTTTTAAAACTATTAAATACTATCTTGTACAAGGCAAGCAAGATTTGTATTTAAACATAAAAGACTTGATTTACTGTAACTCTTTAGTGATATGGGTGTAATACAAACTGGCTTATATAGGCATATGTGAAATAATTTCTTTGAAAATTAAATAGAACATTGAGCTATGTGAAATCGGTGCATGCTTGTTGTGTAAAATGGTGAGTGAAAACTTTTGACATTTTGATTCAGATCATTTTGACCCCACAAAAGTATTTGTATATGAATTTCAAAGGAACTAATTTTTGCATAGAAAAAAAGTAAATATTTGAATTATTATATGAAATATGGAGCAATTTCTGCTTGATAAATGGCCCCACAGAGCAAAACTTTCAGTTAGAAAATTTTCACAAAAGGAAGACCAGATTATATCTGTAACAGCATGTAAAAACCTCAGTTTCAGATACAAGTTTTTCTTTCATTGAGTATATTTTGCACATTACTGGAAAATGAAGCCACATTTACAGAAGTGTGTGCAAGCATTTACACAATCAAATATACATACACTTTAAGTTCCCAATTCTGCAAATACATACACATATGCTTAACTTTATGTACTGTGAGTAGCCCATTGACTTCAGTGGGATGACTCTCAGTGCATAAAGTATGTGCATAAATGTACATGAATAAGTCTTGGAGAATTGAAGCCATAATTTGCACATGCAATTGCCACAGTTGCACATGCACTCATGGTAACTGCACATACAACTGACTATACTGGTAGCAATAATTACCACATGATGGTTTCTAAGTTACTGTATTATTTTGTTATACTACAAAATAGGTATGATATTACATATACTGTGGTGTGTTAGCTGTTGGTAAAAACTGAAACTTAAAAGTGGTGATTACTGTAAAGAAAAGGACATTTAAAGACACAAACACCTTTTAATTCAGTTGAAGTACACAAGGCAAGGAGGATATTTTGGAGAGGCAGAATGGCAAATAATATCTATTAAATAGTTTGGTTAAAAAACATGGACTTTCCTTTCTCAACAGGGATGACTGGAATATGTGGATTTTATTGGGTAAATATATATTGAGCCCACACCTCATATGAGGTTCCACAAGTGATTTATTCCAGTCTTATACTGGAGAGACAACCCTGTCCAGACTAAAAAAACATCAATGCACTGGCCATAGATATTTTGTTAAATCACTTGTTGATTCAGACACAAAGATCAGCAGTGAGAGACACTCCTTTATATGAAGTGTCTATGCTCTTTCATGTAGAAAGTGTCTTCCAGAAGCCAACAACATTTCTCCTGATTAGCACAGCCTGCTACAGGGCCAGAATCCTTATTCATTCAAACCTTCCACTAAAATCAGTTGGAACTGTGCCCAGTGGCATTAGAACAATTTTTATAGTGGGGGTGCTGAAAGCCATTGACCAAAAGTGTAACCCCTGTATATGATGGAAACCAATGCTGCATCTAATTCCAGCACTCCTGATTGTGCCTGGATATGGACAGCTGGTTCATAGAGGGAAGACAGATAACTTTTCACAATTTCTCTGACATTAATGGTGTAGAAGGCCCTGTTGGGTAAATAGTGGGTTATAAATGTAGTTGCTTTGATGAGTTAGTCACCTATTAGTAGTCCAGGTAGTCACATCACACTGATCTGTTTCCCTCTGAACCTCTAGGAGATGGGTGTCCCCACTCAGTCTGGAGTTATGCCTTTGGATATGAATCCTTTCCTATGTACCTTAACACTGTCTAGCTCAGAATATAGCACCTCATTCTTGTGAGAAGTAAATTAATATGCAGTGATGACATCATGGCACAGACAGATGAGTAGAGCACTCTTTGTTTCTTCTTCCACCCAGTCCAAGTGTCAGCCTCTGATTAGCAACAGTGATACTAGGGCATTTCTAATATTTCCGGCAGGTGCTTTCTCAGATGTCCTATAGGAAACCTGAACCCAATTTATATATAAAATGTAAATGAGAGTAATTCCCCAAGGAACTACAAAATCTCTGAGGGATAGAGGAATTACCTTAGAACTAATCTGCAGCTGGATAAATGCAATAACTCCTCAAGTATTCTATTCATCTTCATTTCATCAAGTTACTATATTAATGGAACAAGAACAAGTATACCCTGACTCATATATGCATTTGAATCTGTCTCTATGAGAAATCATGTATATTTATATATGAAAAAAGTATCACTATGATGTACAATAAAATGAAAAATATTTCTAACACTTATTGAAACATGCAGAATAGACACATACACAAATATGTAAAAAGGTTGAATACTAGTTGGAGCTGGAATAATTTTGTTAGCCTTAAGAATTGGCAGCAGTTCTAGATTAGCACAGTGCTTGAACACCTTGCTATGACTATAGCTGGCCCACATGCAGGAATGCAAAAGAAGGAAGGCTCCTTTTGCCCTCTCTACATTGTTAAGCATCCATATAGGTACTCTGGCCCTATATGTTTTATTTATTGAACAAAACAAACAAACAAACAAAAATCCCAGATCTTTTCTGTGAAATATCTGTTAAAATCCCGACAAAGTGGGCTTATGTTTCTGCAATTTTCCAATAGCTATGTGCCCATCCCTCTGCACTTCTCTGTTTAAAGTATAACTTAGTAGATTTGATTTATTGAGATCATGTAAAATGTCCTGATTAACATGGAAAATGTTGCCTTATTTTCCAAAGCACTTCTCATTGCATCACTCACTCCAGGGGCAGGAAAGAATCAAATCTAGTTCTCCTGGTGCTTTTTGATATTTAAATTTGGTACTCTGCCTCTAAGTGCTAGAGACACTGACAGTGTAAAAACTTCCATGTCCTGCATCTGAAGAAGTGAGGTTCTTATCCATGAAAGCTTATGCTCCCAATACTTCTGTTAGTCTTAAAGGTGCCACAGGACCCTCTGTTGCTTTTTACAGATTCAGACTAACATGGCTACCCCTCTGATACATGTCCTGCTGAAATTTGTTTTATGTCTATTTTTTTAAATAAGACCACTGAAAATCTTTTTAAAATATTTCAGGAAACAGCACCACTGTACATAAATCAGAAAATTGAGCTGTTTAACTCAATGGTTATAACTCATTAGGAATGATTGAGTGGGGAAAAGGTGAGGGTTATTACACTCTATGTCGAAAATGGTGCCTGTTTCCAAGTCACTGATAACTCTGAAGAAAATGATCTTGAATGCTTATGGATCAGTGCCTTAACTATCTGCAGTGGGTAACATAGGCTGGGGGAGGCAGTGTCTCCCCAAACAGCCAGGCGTGGCCCTGCTAACACTCTGCCCCCAGCCTCCCCCCCCCCCCTGCCCCAGCCCTCTTTTGCTCGTCACGGCTGTTCCAGTCTCCCTGTGGGGGTGGCCCTGGCTCAGGCCATGCCACCCGCCCTCCCAGAGCTGGGGCCGCATTGCCTGCTCTCCCATTGCTCTGGGGCTGGGGTGTGTGGTCTGCGGCTGTGCCGTCCGTCCTCCCAGTGCTCTAGGGCTGTGGCCGCGCTGCTCGCTCCGGGGCTGAGGGAAGGGAGGCTGGTGACACTAGCCTGGGGTGGGGGCTGGTGGCTGGGGGGGGCGGAGTTCTGGGCTCTGGCAGGGGTGGGGGTCCTGGAAGGGGCGGGGTCTCAGGCGGAAGGGGTGGGGCTGGGGCTAGCCTCACACAGCCGGTGGTTCACATGCCGCCCATAGCCTTAACATATAAAGAACAAGATAGGGTATTAGTTGGTGAATGCTACAGACCACCAAATCACACTAGGAAATGGGATGACCGACTCCTTATTCACCTATTTATAATGTGTAGGAAGAAAAGCCTCATGATCATGGGTGACTTCAATTTGAGTGACATATGCTGGAGGTTTCATGCTGCCAGTACTAAACCATCCTTGGAATGTATAAATATTATAGATGTTGGTTTCCTAATAAAAAGTGTTGCATCAAATACAGGGGAATTCTATATTAGATCTCATCTTGACAGATACAGAGGAACTGATCAGAGAACTAAAAATTAATAGTAGCTCAGGTACAAGTGATCATGAGTTGATTACATTTATAATGTGCAAACAGAACAAAGTTCAGACCAGTAATATATAGACACACTTGGTCCTTTAAAAGGGCTGATTTCCCACAGCTGAAAACAATGATGAGTCAAATCAGCTGGGAGCAAGAATTTAATGAGGAAAATGTACATGATAATTGGGAATAGTTTAAGAACACTTTGCTAGACTCCCAAAAAGCTACAATATCACAATCAAGGAAGAAGGCCATAGTGGCTAAAAAAAATGACCTAGTTTAGTGGGGAAGTGAAGACAGCTATATAAATATATATATACATTTAACAAGTGGAAGAAAGGGGAAGTTGATAGTAATGAATATAAATCAGAAGCTAAGAATTGTAGAAAATTGATAAGGGAAGCAAAGGGACACAAGAAGAATTTTCTGACCAGCAGAGTTAAGGACAATAAGAAGGAGTTTTTAAGTATATTATGAACAAAAGAATCCTAATAATGGCATTGGTTAATTACTAGATGGAAGTGGCAGAATTATCAATGATAATGCAGAAAAGGTAGAAGTGTTCAATAAATGTTTCTGTTCTATATTTGGGGGGGAAAACTGATGCTATAATCATATCATATGATAACACTCTTTCCATTCCACTCGTCTCTCAGAAAGATGTTAAACAGCAGCTGCTAAAGTTAGACATTTTTAAATCAGCAGGTCCAGATAACTTACATCCAAGAGTTTTAAAAGAGCTGTCTGAGGATTTGCTTTACCATTAATGTTGATTTTCAGTAAGTCTTGGAAGACTGGGGAAGTTCCAGAAAACTGGAAGAAAGCTAAGGTTGTAGTGGATGTAATAAACTTCTGTAAAATGTTTGACTTATTACCACATGATATTTTGATTACAAAAGTAGAACAATATAAAATTAGCATGGCATACATTAAATGGATTAAAAGCTAGCTAACTGATAGGTCTCAAAATGTAATTGTAAATGGGGAATCATCATCAAATGGATATGTTTCTAGTGGGGTGCAGCAGGAATCAATGCTTGTTCCTATGCTATTTAACATTTTTATCAATGGCACATAAAATCATTACTGATAAAGTTTGCAGATGACACAAAATTGGGGGAATGGTAAATAATGAAGAGGACAGGTCACTGATACAGAGCGATCTGGATTGTCGGGATAATCTGGGTGCAAGCAAACAATATGTGGTTTAATACAGATAAATGTAAATGTATATATCTAGGAACAAAGAATGTAGGCCATACTTACAGGATGCAGGACTCTATCCCAGGGTAGAAGTAACTCTGAAATTTTTTTTAGGATAATCAGCTGAACAAGAGCTATCAGTGTGATGCTGTGGCCAAAAGGACTCATAAGGGGCAAGGCTGGGGAGGAAAGCAGACCTACCCTGAGGACCCTTGAACAAGGATGCCAAAGAAGCCTTACTGTGAGGAAGAAGACTGTCTGCTGATCATAGTTGGGGCTGAAGGTTTAGTTGTCTTCTCTTTTCTTTTGCTATCTTATATTGGACTTAAAGACTTTTGGGGAGACAGATGGTAAGAATTGATCTACACTGGCATCTCTGAAACAATCTAGAGTGCCTAATATTATTGACCCTCGGAGGGCCCTAGTTCAGAGCCCGATGGAGTGGGATGGCCCAGGCTCCCATACCAACTGCCTTTGTTGCAAGAGGGGCATAAACCTCATTTTTACTCCACCTCCACCTCTAGTAAGGAGAGCGTAAGGACACTGAAAATGCTGAGGTGAGGATAAGCCACATATAAGTATTAGGAACTAGACTGAAGGCCCTGCTGGGAGGCAAGAAACTGAAAACCAGGTATGCTAACCACTAGGCCACCTAGCCTTCCAACTATTCTACTAGAGATGCATAAATGGAGGGAATCTCAAGTAGGAGTAGAGAGGTCATTTTACCACTGATGCAGCTGCTGCTGGAATACTCTGTCCAGTTCTAGTGTCCACAAATCAAGAAGGATATTGATAAATTGGAGAGGGTTCAGAGAAGACCTATAAGAATGATTTAAGGATTAGAATATATGTCTTGTAGTGATAGATTCAAGGAGATTAATCTATTTAGCTTAACAAAGAGAAGTTTAAAGGGTGATTTGATTACAGTCTGTAAGAAACTATATGGGGAACAAATACTTGACAGTGGGCTCTTAAATCTAGCAGAGATGGGTATAACATGAGTCTATGGCTGGAAGTTGGAGCTAGACAAATTCAGATGGAAATAAGGCATACCTTTTTAACAGTGAGGGCAATTAACCCTTGGAATAATTTGCCAAGGGTCATGGTGGATTCTCCATTACTGGCAATTTTTAAATCAAGATCGCATGTTTTTGTAAAAGAAATGCTCTCAGAATTGTTTCAGGGAAGTTCTATGGCCCGTGTTATACCTGAGGCCTGTGTTATACATGAGATTTTCCCTTCTGGCCTTGTAATATACGAATCTGTGAAAATAAAGTCTGACCACGCTACAACTGAAAGTAAATCAGTCTGTTGCCAGTTCTTCTTTTCCACCATCATTCATTTTCTAGCCAAGGCTAAAAGAAGAAAATTGAACTACTATAGATTGTTCTTAATGCATAACGCCCCATTTCTGCAAGGTGCTCTGCATCTGCACTCTCAACTCCCATTGAAATTGATGAGTGCTCAGCATTTCTCAAGATTAAATCCTAAATATTCACACCACAAATCCCTCATAGACAATTACATTTTTAAAAACATGTGGCAATTGGAATATGAAAGGGAATGCAATCAAAATATATAGTAAATGAAAAGCATATTTATAGGTTTGAGAAAAAAAGTCAAAGCAGCTGCATTCTATAATCATTAGTAATGGTACTGGATAAGAATAGTATATGCCCCTTCCAGAATTTATTATTGTTTTTAAGGAACACAATTTCTTTGATTTAAAGGGTGGGGGGAGACAAAAACAGTTTGATTCTACTTGCCTTCAGGGGGTCTGACTTTGTTTTCATCACTCGTTGAAGGATTTAAACACTGTGTTACCAACAAGTAATATTAGCAATGGTAATTCTCATCTCAGGAGGCACTGGGAGACTATTCAATGCTGTTCAATCTTTTTTTTTTTTAAGTAATATATATTTTTTTAGTTCTTTCTTCCAAGGGCTGCTGCATTTTCAAATACTCCCTCCCCCCAAGAACTGAGAACAGGCTCAATATAAATGATGCTATATACAAGTCTCTGCTATTGGAAAGAAGTGTTAGGATTAGGGTTAAATATGCTTTGTGTTGTTTTATTTGTAGTTTTAGTTAGCCGAAAAGTGTTAGTGTTTAAAAATGTAGTGTATTGTTGGCTGTGTTACTGAGCCAAATCATCTTTTCCTTACTCATAAGTACTCTCATTAAAATCAGATGGGCTTCTCATGTGTGTATTTTGACCACCATAAGAAGGGGCATTACCCCATTTAGCCATAGGTATTACTTTTGATTGTCTTATTATCTGAATCTTTTGTGTGAAAAACTAATACAAACTGCACAAAATAATGTATTTTTAAAACTTAACATTAAATATAAATAATCATGGTGCTTCCCTTAATTTGATTCTACAAATGCACAGAGCTGAACAAATTGTTAAAACATTTCATGTTGACTAACGTATTAGACCCACACAAGCACAAAGATGCACTTTGTTACAGTCCCCTATACTAGTGCCTCCTTTTTATATTTTGGTTGAAATTCTCAAATGCAGTTCTATAAGCATAATAATAAATGAGGCTAGGTTATTGTTTGGGGTAAAGGGAAGAAGGTATACAGGGATCTGAAGTGACCTTGCACTATTGAACCAGCCCCTTGTAGCTGGAACAATCCTGGCATTGTTTCAGCCCTATAGTGGATGTTTGCACTTAGAACCCCCTCATTGTCATAGAATGTTGAGAATGTTCATCAGAAACTATGAGATATGCAGGGAAATGGAGGGTGCAGAAGGGGGGAAGATTCACTACCAGGACACATTGCTTACTTGTAATCTTCACTGTTGACTTAATTGTCCCTAAATCTCTCCTGACTCCTGACTGACCTCCCTTCCTTATCTATTCTCTAAGTCCTTTTTGCCCCTCTGTAAGCCATATATTTCTTGATAACAGTGTCAGTAACCTAATGACAATGTGGAAAGCTAAATCCTTTGCCATTCCAGTTTAATTCATCTTTACATTTCTAGTCATCTTGGCTGAGATGATAGTCTGCCATTCAGAGATAAAGAAAGGAAATGAGTATTACCAATACCTTGACACACAAACCTTAACTAAAAATCTCAATAGTTACTTAGGAGCCTAAGTTTAATTGAAAGTCAATGGGACTTAGGCTTGTAAATCTCTTGGGCACTTTTGAAAATTTTACCCCTTGTATAGACAAGGATAAAACTTATGCTGTTAGAACTTGTTAGCTAACGTGCTTCAAAAGGTTAGTGTAGACCAGTCACACTGCTGCCTACAACACACACAAAAACTAATTGAGTTAATACCTGGTTGGGAGCTTTGATCAACTTAGCAGGTTATTTATATTTAAATATAATAAAATTTTACGATAGAGAATATACTACCTTGTCTTTATTAGACTTTTAAACCATGACATGTTCTAACAACATACCATTAAATCCTAATGTAGATAAGGCAAAATACTATGTCAGCTAAAATATATTGTTAAATGTAATGGCCCTAAACATCACAAAACCTCTCTGTTTTCGGTATTTTTCACTTCGGGGAAAGTTTTGTGAGTTTTGCCATATTAGACGAGGACTTGGACCTAAATGAAGATTATAAAGCACAACAGTTACATTTTTTTCTCTTATCCCTGATTTCTGGAGCTGTATGAGACTGATGTTTCTGTTTGCAGAGGTTTCATGTTTGCACTTTTTTTGTTTAAATTTACATGGGTTTTCTCTCTCATGGAGTTTTGCTTTGAATTTCAGATTCAGAAGTAACCCCCAAATTCAAAGTGAAACTCAGCTGAAATGACCACATTGTATCTGGTTAAGGGTTCCATCACTTTTGACACAACTAGACTGATTTTGGGGCTGAACCTGAAACATTTTTGGACTACATTTTAAGATCTAGTATCAATCTCCAACCTGATCTCCTTCTTTGAGAAGGTAACAGATTTCTTAGACAAAGGAAACGCAGTGGATCTAATTTACCTCGAATTCAGTAAGGCATTTGATATGGTTCCACATGGAGAATTATTAGCCGAATTGGAAAAGTTGGGGATCAATATGAAAATTGAAAGATGGATAAGGAACTGGTTAAAGGAGGGACTACAACTGGTCATAATGAAAGATGAACTGTCAGGCTGGAGGGAGGTTACTAGTGGAGTTCCTCAGGGACTGGTTTTGGGACCAGTCTTATTTAATCTTTTTATTACTGACCTTGGCACAAAAAGTGGGTATGCGCTAATAAAATTTGCAGATGACACAAAGCTGGGAGGTAGTGCCAATACAGAGAAGGACCGGGATATCATACAGGAAGATCTGGATGAACTTGTAAACTGGAGTAATAGTAATAGGATGACATTTAATAGTGAAAAGTGCAAGGTCATGCATTTAGGGATTAACAACAAGAATTTTTGTTATAAGCTGGGGACGCATCAGTTGGAAGTAACAGAGGAGAAGAAGGACCTCGGAGTATTAGTTGATCACAGGATGACTATGAACCGCCAATGTGATATGGCCGTGAAAAAAGCTAATGTGGTCTTGGGATGCATCAGGCGAGGTATTTCCAGTAGAGATAAGGAGGTGTTAGTACTGTTATACAAGGCACCGGTGAGACCTCAGCTGGAATACTGTGTGCAATTCTGGTCTCCCATGTTTAAGAAGGATGAATTCATACTGGAACAGGTACAGAGAAGGGCTACTAGGATGATCCGAGGAATGGAAAACCTGTTTTATGAAAGGAGACTCAAAGAGCTTGGCCTGTTTAGCCTAACCAAAAGAAGGCTGAGGGGAGATATGATTCCTCTCTATAAATATATCAGAGGGATAAATACCAGGGAGGGAGAGGAATTATTTAATCTCAGTACCAATGTGGACACAAGAACAAATGAATATAAACTGGTCATGAGGAAGTTTAGACTTGAAATTAGACGAAGGTTTCTAACCATCAGAGGAGTGAAGTTCTGGAACAGCCTTCCAAGGGGAGTAGTGGGGGCAAAAGACATATCTGGCTTCAAGACTAAGCTTGATAAGTTTATGGAGGGGATGTTATGATGGGATAGCCTAATTTTGGCAATTAATTGATCTTTGACTATTAGCGGTAAATATGCTCAATGGCCTGTGATGGGATGTTAGATGGGGTGGGATCTGAGTTACTACAGAGAATTCTTTCCTGGGTGTCTGGCTGATGAGTCTTGCCCACATGCTCAGGGTTTAGCTGATTGCCATATTTGGGTTCGGGAAGGAATTTTCCTCCAGAGCAGATTGGGGATTTTTCACCTTCCTCTGCAGCATGGGGCATGGGTCACTTGCTGGAGGATTCTCTGCACCTTGAAGTCTTTAAACCACGATTTGAGGACTTCAGTAGCTCAGACATAGGTTAGGGGTTTGATACAGGAATGGGTGGGTGAGATTCTGTGGCCTGGGTTGTGCAGAAGGTCAGACTAGACAATCACAATGGTCCCTTCTGACCTTAAAGTCTATGATTCAATGATTCTATGATCCTACAGAGATAGTATATTATAAAAAACTGGGCTGGGAACAATCTTACTGTAAAAACGTCAGAAAGACAAACTATTTGTAATAATAAGTAATAATGATACCCCTTTTGGCCCAAGTGGTTACCCAATATTCAGGATAACAGTTTTTTTCTATTAGGAGAAATTGATGACGGAATCAGGTATTTCTTTGATGCAATCCTCTTTATTTACAAAGAATATATACAATATATAATATTGATTGCAAGTTTAAACAAAGGAAATGTATTGAGTATATGAGGGTCCTATATAAAGTTGAGTTTTCTGGTATATAAAGGCTTTAGAATATTATAGTAGGTAGTGCAGCTTTGTATATTTAACTTTATTATTATTATTATTATTATTTAATAAAAGCGATAAGGAGAAGCAAAGTAGTGCTAGTATGGCCCCATGAAATGGCACAAGTAAAGTATGTTAAAGAATAAAAAATGTTACCACATCAAATCATAAGCATGACCGGACATGATATAATTGGCAGTATAAAATAAATATATTTTGTATAAAACAGAGATAGAGAAAAAATTATACATGAAATGTTTTCTCATCATACTGCTCATGGATTTACATCTATAAGTCAGTGCACACCGAGGCGAATGAAAATATGTCTCTTTGAT